TCAGAAAATAATGCCATTCATACTCGGCTGCCATCTCATTTTCCCTCGTGCCGTGGAATTCTGCTGGAGGAATAGAGAAAATTTCTGAAGATAATCGAACTCACCAGCCCAACACAGCAGGGGAAGAATGAAAAATTGGAGCAGTTCCACGATGAAGAAGAAAAGGCAACGCAACAGACGTCCAAGTGGACAATCATCGTAGGAGATTTCGAAACCATGGTAGGAAAGGAAACTACGAAGACACCGCGTTGCATCGACCGAATTAGAAGTGGAGAGCGAAGCGAACACGCCTCCCACTTCACAGCGCTTGCCGAAAGTAATTTACCGCCTCCACATCATGAACACTACGTTTGAAAAGGAGAGAAGCCACAGTGGACGTGAAGGAGTCCTAATGGAACGAATTTAACCATTATGTGTTGACTGGCATGACACTGGTAATGTAGTAATGAAAAATGTTCCTATAAATGGAGAAATCACAATCTGCACAGGATCAGACCACAGATTACTCTGTCAAGATCGGGTTAGAAGACTCAAAGACCACCGGACATTGGACGCATATTCCATCCTGAAGCTTTTGCAGACAAGCTTCCTCCGCTGAACCTCGCCATTAACATTAGCAGACTTATCGATGCAGCCAATCAGTACATCATTGATACTATCAAAACTGCCATTCGGTATTTCAACCGGGCAACAACCCAGAAGGAAACAATGCACCAATCCTACAGCGAGACAGCTGATGGATAGAAGAGCCAAGGAAGAAGCGCATGGACGGATCGTTGAGTACATCGCGCTGTAAAAAAAGAGTGGGGAATGAGGTTTGGGAGGACTACAACAAGTACAGAATAACGAAGCGAAGAGATACCGCATTAAAGAAGAATATTCTCAAGGCCGCTGAAAAGGACATTCTCCTCGAATGGCGGATTCCCACAGCACTATAGGAAAAAGAAGGAACAGGAACCGTAGGTTGCCGTTACACAAAAGCGATGTGGAAAAGTTCTACTGCAGCCTCTTCCGCAGAAGAATACCGGAAGCTGTTGCACGTTGTCCCGAAACCGTTCTTGGTGTCAATGGAGACGAAGTCAATTGGACAATCAAGAATATGAACAGTAGCAAATTTTCTGACACGAAAGCCGTGAAATTGGGAAGTATCTCAAGTCGGGATGAATGGCCTTGTTCAAAATCCTTGCCAAGTAATATGCAAAATAAATCAGTCTAAAAACACGCCAGAAGCCGCAGAGCTCTTTCAGAGATCCTTCTATTCAAGACTGGTGATGCTGAGGACCCCCAGAACTTTCAACTCACCGCTTTCCTGTCACGAGTCCATAAGGTCTTTCCCTGAATCACCCTCAGCAGCATACTGAAAAATTTGGAACTGCCTGGAATCTAGTAAAGAACAAGCCGGTTTCTGAACAGGTTCGCCACCAAAGGCTGCATGAACGTTGTGAAGGAGATGACAGAGAATGCAAGTAATATCAATTCCCCGTTTCCTATACGTTAACGGATTTCGACAAAGCGTTCGATTTCATCGCTTTGCACCACTGTGGTAACAACTCTTTCTGCAAAATCCTGATCGATGAACCGAATACTGACACCGCAGACGCCAATCGACATAAGGCGAATCGTATT